ATGTGAAGACATCGAGTGCGCAGGTCCGGGGTTGCATCCCAATGCCACCTTCCCCCACCCTCCTAGCCTCAGGCCAGCTTGCTTGCTCTGTCTCGCGTTTCCCTCCCAGCCCTATTCACCGCTGCCATCCCCCTGTGCCGTGAATGCTCCCCCCCCACCCCCCCACCCCCAGCTTCTCTAACCTCACCTGTGCCCTCCCACAGTACCCGGGGCCTGGACGCTCTGGTCCCCCTGGTCTGAATGCCCTGTCTCCTGTGGAGGTGGAAGCCAGGTTCGCACCCGGGTCTGCATGGCCTCGGCCGCTGACTGCAGGGGGGCCCCCTGCCTGGGCCCTGGCACCCAGACCCAGCGCTGTGGAGGGCAGTCTTGCCTGGGGCTGCTGGAGGCCTGCTCCTGGGGCCCGTGGGGGCCCTGTTCCCGCAGCTGTGGCCCAGGCCTGGCCACCCGCTCTGGGTCCTGCCCGTGCCCACTGGCCGAAGTCGACCTCACCTGCAATGGCACCTTCCTCCACCTGGACACCCAGGCCTGCTACCCAGGGCCCTGCCTAGGTGAGTGTGCATGGGGCAGCGAAGCCCCCTCCCCTGATTTCCTGCCTCAGGAAAATTCAGCAAGTAACATGGTTTCCCAAACCCCAGATTTGCTCCCTCAAATGTATATCTATCTCCCTCATATTTTGCTAGTTTCTTTCCTGTTCTCACCACCTCCTCCTTTTGAGCTCTTTGGGATGCGCCCCTCGCCCCTGGGTGACAGAGAACACAGCAAATTAGGACTTGCCTGAATTTTTGGCTCCCTTTTGCCCTTTTGCTGTGCAGGGTGTTGGCTGGGGCTGGGGGAAGAGTGGAGGGGAGGGGAAGGAGGAGGGAGGCTGGAGGAGCCTGGCTGGCACCCCCCCACCTTGGTCCCTAGAGGAGTGCCTGTGGAGCAGCTGGAGCGGCTGGACGCGATGCTCATGCCAGGTGCTGGTCCAGCAGCGCTACCGGCACCAGGGACCAGCGCCCACAGCGGGAGCGGCACGGGAGAGCTCTCCCTGCACGCGCCTGGACGGCCACTTCCGGCCCTGCCCCGTCGGCAACTGCTCGGGTGAGGCCCCAGGAGCGAGAAGCCAGACAGCTGAGCCCCAGCAGGGCCTCCCAGCTCCTCTCCAAGCCGACCTCCATGCCCCCGGGCCCTCGGAGCAGGTGCCCTTGCCTGCACTGAGCCACGCCCTCAGCAGCCCGGTCACTCCCCTGCCTCGCCCTCAGCTACCCGCGCATCCCATCCCGAGGCTCCGCTCCTCTCCCCTCCCGGCTCCGCTGTGATTTCTCCGCTTTGGAGCTGCAGGTTTTGTCCACTTGTAGCAGCCCCCTGGGCCCAGAAGGTCTTGCCCACCTCGTGTGGTAGCCACCCTCCTGTCCCCCATCCGCCAACCCCGGGAGCACCTGCCAGGCCCCCAGCTCCCCGAAGGCCCCATCCTCCACGCAGCTACCTGGCTCTCCGCGGCCCAAGCATCAGGACCCTTCCTAGAGGCACCCTTGGGGGCCGAGTGGGCACTCGGGGCGACACTAGCCAGTCCTTAGGGCAGCCTGGGGGCAGGTTGGCACTCTTACAGGGAGACCCCAAGGGGCCTGGAGGGGATCGTGTCCTGTGTGCTCCGGGCTTGGGGGTGGAGGGTGTCTCTGGGCGGCCCCCCACCAGCCTCTGTTCCCCGCACAGAGGACAGCTGCACACCTCTCTTTGAGTTCCGGGCCTGTGCCCCACCCTGTGCCGGGCTCTGCGCCACACGCCTGAGCCATCGGCTCTGCCAGGACCTGCCGCCCTGCCAGCCGGGCTGCTACTGTCCAGAGGTGAGGGGTGGGGCTGGGGGAGGTGCCCCAGGAGGAGGGGGGCTCTGTCCACACTCCTACGCGGCCTCCCTTCCGTGATGCCGGGGTGACACCCCTCTGCATGGTGCCCCCTGAAGAGCCCCTCACATTCTGCCTCGTGCCCACGTGCCCACCACTGGCTCACCCGCCGTGAGCGGACACAGTATGGCACCAGGGTACAGAGATGGCTGCCACACAGCCCTGTCTCCATGTCCCCTTCTGCTCAGGGGCTGCTGGAGCGGGCCGGGGGCTGCATTCCCCCAGAGCAGTGTAGCTGCCTGCACCTCACAGGTGAAGGAGCCACGGTGACCCTGGCCCCCGGGGAACGCCTGCACCTGGGCTGCAAAGAGTCGTGAGTGATGGGGTCGGGGAGGCAGCATCAGAGGGCTGGGGTCAGGGGATGGGGGGCGGGGAGGAGGCCCCACAGAGAAATCCCCCAGGCCCCGGGGCCCAGCTCCAACCTCAACCTGCTCCAAATGAGCCCAGAGCCCACGTCGCGCCTACATCAGCCCCCAACCACCACTCTGGGCTGAGTCTTGCCTCGGCAAACCTACCCCGACCACCCCCTCCCACAGTGAATGCCAGCACGGAGAACTGCATTGCACCAGCCAGGGCTGTCAAGGTAACTCTGGACTTGAGAGACCAGCTGTCCCCATTTGCCCAGGACTGGGGGCGGGGGGCGGTTTCCCGAATCTGGAACTCTTAGTGCTAGGACTCGGACAGTCTCAGACAAACCAGGACAGTGGGTCACCCTACCCAGGCTCCCTGACACCTCCTACAGCCTTTCCCATTTCAAGCCCTTCCTGGTCATAACTGGGGCTCCTCCCTCCCCATCCACTGGGATCCGTGGTCTGGGGGAGGGTTCTTGGGAAGGTGCCCACTCGCTGCCCTTCCTAGGTCTTCTTCCTCTGAGTGGGTGGTCCGAGTGGTCACCCTGTGGGCCCTGCCTGCCCCGTGGCATGCTGGCCCCTGCCTCCAGGACTGTGCTAGAGGAGCGCTGGTCTCAGCACCCAGCTGGCCGCTCCCCGACCTTGGCCCCCTGGCTGGCTTCGGAGCAGCACCGCCATCGCCTCTGTTTGGACCCTGAGACCCAGACCTCTGCACCGCACCACTCAGCCAGCAGCGCCTCTGCCCGGACCCGAGGGCCTGCCATGGTAATGAGGAGGGGCAGAGACCAACAGGGCAGGAGGGAGCCTGAAATGAGAGTGGTGGGGGACCTGGCCAGGTAGGGCTGGGCCATGCTGTTTATTTCAGTAGCCAGGCGGTTAGCAGGCCTGCTAAGCCTCCTGCTTGCCCCCACGGCCTGCTGGATTTCACGCTGGGTGGGCCCGCAGCAGGGAGCATCCATGCAGCCACTGAAAAAAGGAGGAAGGGGGTCTGAGGGGCTCAGGGCATGTCAGAGTGTCTGCAGGGCTAGAGCCTGAGGCCTTGGGGTGGAAGCAAGAGGCAGAGGGGAGGTGGGTCCTGGGTACTGACTTCCATTTTATCTCCCCAGACTTAATGCCAGTGGAGTCCTTGGGGGCCCTGGAGCTCCTGCCAGGTGCCCTGCAGTGGGGGTTTCCGGCTACGCTGGAGAGAGGCAGCGGCACCCACTGGAGGGGGCTGCCGGGGGCCATGGGCTCAGACTGAGAGCTGCAATGTGGGGCCCTGCCCAGGTAACCCCCATGGCAGAATCTGGGGGGAGGGGCCAGGGACTGTAACATACAAGATAGCGCCTGAGCAGGATGTTGCCTCTGCTCCTAGAGGCATGCGGGGGACGGGAGGGTGCTGTCCCCGGGGGGCCCAAGAGTTGGCCCCCAACACAGACTCCTACTTTCTGGTCCTCAGGGGAGAGCTGCGAAGCCCGGGACACCGTGCCCACCCTTGACTATGCCAACCGATGCCCCAGAAGCTGTGCCGAACTCTGGGACCGCGTGCAGTGTCTGCAAGGGCCGTGCCGCCCAGGTGGCCAGGCCATGCCTGCAGCCCAGCCTGGGAGCTCTAGGGCCTCTGAGCGGGGCAGCTTGCTTCGCTGCCTCCTGCTTCCAGAGAGCATGAGACCCGTGGGCGGGGGCATGCTCCTGTACTGGATCATGGGTGATAGGGCAGCAAAGTGGATCCTTGGGTCACTTTCGGCAACTGGGTAGGGCTCCTGCATAGAGCGAGCCTTAGCCAAGATGGGCTGTGTCTGTGAAGATGCTCTCAAGCAGCCTCAAGGGTTCCTGGGGTGGGGCCCACACAGGGCGGGCTAGAGCGACCCCTTCCTGTGCTCCAGAGGTGGAAACAGTGTGGGGGCTGGGGGTGGGGGTGCGGGAGGGTGCGCCTGAGCCTTTGGACTCCGACTGGCGGCCAGAGGGATCCTTTGTGTGTGCCTGCCGGAGCACCGAATCTTGCTTGTCCTCCCCACCCCCAGGCTGCCGCTGCCCGCCTGGCCAACGAATACAGGATGGGCACTGCGTGCCCATCTCCTCCTGCCGCTCTGGCCTTCCCAGCCCCAATGCCTCATGGGTGGTGGCCCCAGCTGCGGTGGCACAGCTGGACTGCAAAAACTGGTATGGCTGACCACTGGTGGCCAAGCGGGGGGCTCGGGAGCTTTGGGTGGGAGGCTTGGGGCAGGTCAGGGTTATGGGCATTACTGGGAAACAAAGGCTCTGTTCCCCTTGACTCGTGCCCTTGACCCCTGTCCACAGCACCTGTATCAACGGGTCCCTGATGTGCCCACACCACAAGTGCCCTGTCCTTGGGCCTTGGTCAGCCTGGAGCAGCTGCTCTGCTCCCTGTGGTGGGGGCACTACGGAGCGTCATTGGAGCTGTGAGGAGGGTCCTGCGGGGGTACCATGCCAGGGCCGGGACACAGAGCAGCGGCAGGAATGTAACCTGAAGCCCTGCCCTGGTGAGCACCTGGGGTGGTGAGCACCTGGGGTGGTGGGCACGTGCCCTTCCCTCTAGTGCCGCTGAGCTCTGGCCCCCGTCCCAGCTGGCCTTCGCCAGGGCAGGGGGCCAGTCGGGAGACAGTCCCTTCCCCGGGAGCAGTCCCTTCCTCAGGACTCCACCTCACTGTCTGTGCGCTCCCCCCACCCCAGAGCGCCTACCTGGCCAGGTGCTCAGAGCCTGTGCCACCGGGTGCCCACGCCTCTGTTCGCATCTGCAGCCTGGTGCCCCCTGTGTGCAGGAACCCTGTCAGCTTGGCTGCGGCTGCCCTGGAGAGCAGGTATGTCCAGGAGCTGTGTCACGACTCCCGTAGGGGGAGCAGCCAAGTGGGGGGAGGGGGAGAAGTGGGTCTGAGTATAACTGGAGCCCGCACCACCCTAGCTGCTGCACAATGGCACGTGTGTGCCCCCCGCTGCATGCCCCTGCACCCAGATCTCTCTGCCGTGGGGCCTTACCTTGCCCCTTGAAGAGCAGGCCCGGGAGCTTCCCCCAGGGACTGTGCTCATCTGGAACTGTACCCGCTGGTGAGGACCAAGGGGGCTGGGGTGGGGAGGGAGTGGAGGGCAGGGCTGCTGAGAATGGCGGTGGGGAGCAGGGCCTCGGAGGCATCGGAACCCATGCTTCTGTCTTCCCAGTATCTGCCGAGATGGAGCCTTCAGCTGCTCCCTAGCCGACTGTCACGGTGAGATATGGCTGTCTAGGCCCCTGCTGGTCCTTCCAAAGGCAGGGGGGGTGGTTGGCCCTGCTGAGGGCAAAGGCAATGCTATCTCTTTCAAGAAGCCCCTTCCTTGCTCTGTCCACAGTGATGTTGAGGGCATTCCTGTGTGTGCACCGAGCAGGGCTGTGAGCGATGCAGGAAGTGGAGGGTTCTTTCCCTGCAGAGGAGGAAGCAAAGGTTGAGAGCATGAGCTAAAATAGGATCCTTGTCTGGCAGTCCCCAGGCAGGTGGTATCTGCCCTGTGCTGTTTTGCCCCCATCTGGTCAAAGTCAACAGGCCTTTGCTAAGGGCTCACCTGTGCCCCGCCCTGGCACACTGGGCTCTGTGTGGATTCAGAGACACACAGGTATGGTGAGACCCGAGCACCCCAGCCTGGTGCTGCTGCTGAGGGCAGACTGACCCACCAGAACAGAGACAGGAGACGGTTTCTGGCCCACTGACAAGCAGGCTGCACCCACAGGACGGGAAATCAGTGCCACAAGAGGAGAGGTCAGGGTGGACAGGACTAGTCAGGGGAGGCTTCCTGGAAAAGGCAAGATGCGAGTTAGGCCCTGCTGGTATTTGGGAAGGTGGATAAGAGCAGAGGGCTGTGTTTGGAGGCCTACAAGTGCAGAGTGGGCAGTACTGGGGAGGGAGGAGGGACTCTAGGGGTGCCTGGCGTGGGACGGGGGAGAATCCAGGCTGGACCTAGGGCTGACCTGAGTGGTGGTGGTGGTGGGGTCTTCCCTGGCAGAGTGCCCCTCCGGGGAAATGTGGCAGCAGGTGCCCCCTGGGGAGCCGGGGCTGTGTGAGAGGACGTGCCGGGAGCCCAACGCCACGGAGATTCAGGGCAGCTGCAGTGCGGGGCGGGCCCCGGGCTGTGTGTGCCGGCACGGGCACTTGCGCAGCCAGGCGGGCCTCTGCGTGCCCGCGGACCACTGTGAGTGCTGGCGCCACGGGCATCCCCACCCGGTGAGACACCGCTGCCCCTCCTCAACCCAGGCCTCCCTCCTGTCCGCGGGCTCCTCCCCTCTACGCCAGGGCCATCCCACTGGGACAGTCTCTGGGCTCTGTCGGCCCACCTCCCTCCTGAAACTCCTGTTGCCGCCTTCAGTCGCTGGCTGCTGGTTTCAGGGAGGGGGTAGTAGCGTAGAAAAGCCTAACCAGCAGAGAGATGGAGATCGAGGTGGAGAGGAGGATGTCCCGCATTCTCCCCAGCCCCCATCCGAATGGCAGGAGGACTGTGACAGCTGCCGCTGCCTCCGTGGGAGGAGTGTCTGCACCCAGCGCTGCCCCCCCCACCTGTGCCCAGGTACCGCCAGCAGCCCTGCTGCCCTCTCACAGCGGCTCCCTGGGGTCCTTCCTCCGTCCCTCCCCAGAGGCTGGTCTTAGGGCCTCGAGCAGGCAGTGCCGGGGCACCTGGGCCATCCTCCTGAGTGGGCTGGGGACCACTCCCTTTGCAGGGCGAGGTGACCGTGCAGGAGCCAGGGAGCTGCTGTCCCACTTGCCGCCAAGAGACTCTGGGTATGCAGGGGACCTGGGGCACTTCCTGCCGTGCCTCTTCCTGCTCTGGGCCCTTCTCCCAAACTCCCCCCAATGCCCACCCTAGGAGGCCTGCCTTCCCCAGTGCAGCCTACCATGAGGATTAGGGGAGTGGAGACCCCTAGCGCTGCCTCATGGCGCCTGGCCACCCCTGTCCCAACAGCCGCAGGTGCCCCTCGGGTCCACACGCTGCTGTCCCCTTCACACAGAGTCCCCTCATGTTGGCCTTCTGTCTCTGCCGTGCCCCCACCTCCTGCATTCACCTGCTCCTCCCCACAGAGGAGCAGTCAGCCTCCTGCCGGCATCTCACCGAGCTGCGCAACCTCACCAAGGGCCCCTGCTACCTGGACCAAGTAGAAGTGAGCTACTGCAGCGGGCACTGTCCATCCAGCACCAATGTCATGCCTGAGGTGAGCCAGGGGGCTGCCGTGCACCCTGAGGGCCTACCACTGCGAGCCTAGACCTGGGCAAAGCCCCGGGGACGTGAAGGATGCGGTCAATCTCAAGGGGATACAGAGATCAGAGCCCGGGTGAGTTTTCACCAAGGTGGTGGTCTCCACCTGCTGCCTGGCCCTGTGACCTCCACCGGGCTTGGGCCCCAGAGCCTACTGCAGGCCTCCACCCCTGCCAGGGGGGTCTTCTCCTGCTGTGGGCCTACCAGGACATGAACAGGAAAGGCATAAATTAGGAGCTAAGTTAGGCTCCGAAATCACAGCCCAGCCTATACTGAGAAGCTCTGTGGGACAGGCCGTTTACACACAGCCTCCTCCCAGACATTCCTGGCAAGGCGTTATGAGCATGTCCCAGGAGACGGATTGAGCTCTGCCCTGCACTTGCTCTCCTCAGAACCCTCCCAGAACCCTGCTCCTCCCCGACCCGGCTGGCTCCCGCGCTTGGCGAGGAGTGTTGGGATCTGGCCCTCCCCGGGATGGGAAAGGCCACCAGAGGGAAGGCCGGTGTTTTGGGCAAACGCGTTTGGCCCCGCCCCAGCTCAGCCACGCCCCCCCCGCAGGAGCCGTACCTGCAGAGCCAGTGCGGCTGCTGCAGCTACAGCCTGGACCCCGAGAGCCCCGTGCGGATCCTGACCCTGCGCTGTCCCGGCGGCCGCGCGGAGCCGGTGGTGCTGCCCGCCATCCGCAGCTGCCAGTGCAGCGCCTGCCAGGGGGGTGTGGGCGGGGCCGGGCTGGGGCGGGGGCAGGCGAGGGCTCGGAGGAGGGGCTCCGGGGGCGGGGCGGGGCCGGGGCGGGGCCGGCACAGGCCTTCCGAAAGGGGGTCCGTTTCCCAACTCGCAGGCCGCCGCGGGATTCTGCCTTCTTGACCCCTTCTGACCCGCTCCATCCCGCTTCTTGGCTCTCTTGTTGGGTTCTTCTCCAATCATACGCACGCTTGGGGCTTTGGAGTCAGTCAGAGCTGCTTCATAGCAGCCCGTCTCTTTCCTTCCTTGCTCAGCGTCGGTGACCTCAGCCTCACCGCCGGGCTGACAACGTGCACGGGCTTGTTGGGAGGGCTTAGTGAGAGCGCACGTGTGAAGCGCCTGCCAGGTGCTCGGTTCTCGTTAGGTACCCGAGGCCACACTGTGGCAGGTGAGAGAAACAGGTGCAGGGACACTGGTACCGCCTGGACGGAGCGCAGGGCAAGAGCTGGCCTTTCTCTGGCCTTCCTCCTGGCGGGTCTCCCTCTCCTGCCAGTTTGCGCCGCTGCCCATCCCTTCCGGGCCTGACCACTGCCTCCTTGCTCGTGCCTCTCCCGCTCATTCGTCCTCCAGGAGGTGACTTCTCAAAGCACTGACGGCTCCGCTGCACGAGGCTGCCTCCACCCCTCATGTCATCACCGGGCTCGGAGGCACTGACTCCCTCCTCCCGTGCCGACCCGCCCACTCCATGCCCTGGTACCAGCATCTCCCAAATAAAGTGACACTGGTAGCAAGCCCGTGTGCAGAGTCTGCCTCTGGGGACAAGGAGGTAAGGGGGGGCAGAGTGGGTCTGAGCCCTGACCTCGACCTGCACAAGGACTGTCTCCAGGAGGCTTCTGTTAATCTGCCATGCTGGTGAACTTGGGCGAGTCACTTCCCATGTATGTGCCTCAGTTTCCACATCAGCAGGTTGCACATAAAGTCTGAAGTTCTCTGGTGCATGGCTTCTGCTGGCCAGTTCTGCCCCTTCGTCCCGCAAAGAGTCCTCTTCCAGTCTAGTTGGTGCTGCCCAGCTCCACCACCCTCTCCTGCTTCCAACTGCCATTTCCCCTCATCCAGAGAAGAGTTCAGCTGGTGGGTCCCATTCCTTGTCATGGACACTGCATGTGGATAATCCATTCAGTTCTCACCCCTTTATATACAGTGACCTTCCCCTTCACTCCACAAACTCAGCTGTTTTCAAACATTTTCCAATATTTACTTACTGATCACGACTTCCCATCCTTCCAGCTTACGTGCTCTAGTGCCCCACTGCTATCATTTATTTCAAATTCATTGAGCCCACCAGGTTCTCACTTTTCATTAGCTCCCTCCTGTCTCCCCTCAGGAGTCACGGTCTGCATGGTGATTCTCAGCACCAACTGCACATTAGAATCACCCGAGGAATTTTGAAACCCTACCAATGCCCAGACCCCATCCTGAGCCCATTAAATCAGATTCTTTGGAAACCTCGTGGGTAATTCCATGTGCACCTAGCTGGAACTGAGAACCACCTTTCTGTCATTATAAATCACTCCAATGCAAGTACTGTTAAATCCCTCACTTTTCTATCTCCATTCATCCCCACCTGGCAATATTCTAACTCCAAAATGTGCCCAAGTTTCTGCTTCTAGACAGAATTTTGCAGATAGGCTGTTTTTACCTTAAATTTGTAATCACAAACCTCAAACAGGCCTTTAATTCAATTTGACCATCCTACCTCTTCTGTTTCCTTATAAACTCTATTTCCTGTTCTCTGCAATGACTATGCATGCCTTCTCTTCCCCACTCTGTCATTTTCATGAGATGACCTTGTCCCACAGAGATGTCATCAGATGGGAAAATCTATAGCAAATCTATAACAAAACAAACCGACATCCACTCCATCTCTTCCTTCTTCCCTTGTGGTGTCATCTAGAAGTATCCCTACCCCTGGAAATGGCCCTTGATACTGTGGTCCTGGCTCCTCTTGCCTCCTCAAGGTCTTGGGTCCTTGCATTGCCCCACCTGGTTAACCATCAGTTCCCTTCCCATCAACAACAGAAACACTATCCCGTGTCTCACATCTTAGCCTCCTCTCTTGACCCCACGTTTCCCTCCAGATACTGCCCCATCTTTCTGTACCTTTTCATGGAGAAAACTCTTTCAGTTACCAACCCTAGCTGTCTCAACCACCTCACCTCCAGTGTTTAAACCCCCAAACAAGAATTTGTTATAAGGAGACAGGGATAACTCGGTCAGAAATACGGCTCTCTGAGGTACATACAGAGAGGGATAGCTATGGCTGAGCTGGGAGCTGGAGATTAGAAGGCCACCTGGAGTCTTCGATCTCATTTCAGAGCATCTGTCTCATTTTTCTTTCTCAGAAGCACAGACTGCCCTACCAGTGACTGCACCTGGCCAGAGGGAGGCTGCTCAAAGCACACAAAGCTATGAACTGAATTGTATCCCCCCCAAACTCCTCTGTTGAGACCCTAAACCCCAATGTGACTATATTTGGAAATAGGGCCTATACAGAGATAATTAATGTTAAATGAGGTCAGGAGGCTGATAGGATTAGTGTCCTTAGAAGAAGAGACACCAGAGAGCTCATTCTCTCTCTCTCTCTCTCTCTCTCTCTCTCTCTCCCTGAGAACACACAGAAAAGAGGTCATATAAGGACACAGCGAGGTGGTGCCACCTGCAAGCCAGGAAGAGAAATCTCACCAGAACCAACCAACTGGAGTCTTCTAGTCTCCAGAACTCTGGGAAAGTAAATTTCTGTATGTTGTTATGGCAGCCTGAGCTGAGGTCAAATATTACAGTTCTACTCACATGGATTGAATGCTCTCACATTTCTAGAAAAGGTATTCCCATTAACCCCTGCTGAGTTTAGCTCTATTCAACCCTGGCTAGAAGAGCAGAGTCGTATAGTATAATGGAAAATGGTTACTTGGGACGTGCTCAGGGGTGATAATCAAAATATTTAACAATCAGTGTGGCAATATGTATTAATAAAAATTTTAAACATAAACTATGCTTGATTTTTTTATTTAAAACTTTGAATTGTGACTTAAAACGCATACATGTAAAAGTACATCAAACATTTTTATAGTTAATTTAACCAACACCTTTATAATAATCACTTCCTTATTTTCTGTCATTTTCCCTCTATGTATACATAAAGGGAAGGCCATGAGGGAGCTTTCTGGAGTGCTGGAAATTTTCTGTATCTGATCTGAGTGGTGGCTACCTGGTACGCATGCAAAAACACATCAAGTTATACCCTTAAGATTTCTGCACTTTACTATTTATTATTTGTACTATGATTATTATACATATTACACCCATATATATTATAAACTAAACAATATATTATTATAATAACTTCAAATAGTTTTTTATGTCTGTAACCAGGGCACAGGGGTTCAAGACCATCTGGCTCCGGGGGTCCCAAGCAGACCAGGTTCAGCCACTCACTGCAGACAAAATCCAAAGACAGAGATGAGCAGTGGTGAAAAGAGAAAGGAATTTATTTCAGTGAGGCCAGCACCAGGAAGACAGCAGACTGATGTCTCAAAGACTATCTCCAAAGTGCTGAAAATACTTCTAAGTTTATAGAAGGCAAATGTGGGACAAAAGTTGATGGGCACATGCAGGTGGGCAGGAAAGGTCAGGTTGATCAGTGTCTTGAGGTCAGTCACGTGGGGTCTTGCTGGCTCAGGGCAGTGGTTACTGCTCGAGGGGACAGTCTTTGTTCCCATCACAGAATGCTTTGCCTGAGTTAAGACATGAGCTGGAAAGAACTGAATCAGTTAGGAAGTACAGACAGGTCAAAATGGAGGCAGGTGAAGTCTTCTTTCATGTCTTTTAAAGAAGATTAGAGAAGAAAGAGCAAGTATATTTTTATGGAGTTTGGTCTTCTTTCTTTCCTCCTTAAATTCACCCTCTAGGGTGCCTGGGTGGCTCAGTTGGTTAAGCAACTGCCTTCGGCTCAGGTCATGATCCTGGAGCCCCTGGATCGAGTCCCACATCGGGCTCCCTGCTCGGCAGGGAGTCTGCTTCTCCCTCTGACCCTCCCCCCTCTCATGTGCTCTCTCTCTGTCTCAAATAAATAAATAAAATCTTTAAAAAAAAAATTCACCCTCTACTCTGCAGTAGGACTGATCCAACTAAAGTGCAAATTTGCCCACACCATTCACTGGCTTGAAACTCATTTCAAACGCCCTAAGGGAGCATACACTGCCTTCCACATCCAGCCCCCAAGTATCTCTCCAGTGCCATTTCCCATAATTTCCTGTCTCACACCATCCCTGCACACACCATTTGCTCAGCTGTCTGGCTTTGCTTATGCTATTTCTTATGGCCAACTGCCCTCTTTGCAACACATTTCTCTCCCTCCCCCCCGCCCCCGTTTTAGTTAACTCAGGCTACCATAACAAAATACCATAGACCGGGTGGCTTAAACAACAGACATTTATTTTCTCACTGTTCTGGAGAATGTGAGTTCAAGACCAAGATGCCAACATGGCTGGGTTCTGGTGGGGACTCTCTTCGTGGCTTACAGACAGCTGCCTTCTCGCTGTTTCCTCGTATGGCAGAGAGAGACAGCATGCTCTCCTGTGTCTCTTCTTGTAAAGACACTAATCCCATCATGAGAACCCCATCCTCATGATCTCGTCTAAACTTAACTACCTCCCAAAGGCCCCACATCTAAATACCGTCACATAGGGGTTACATACAAATTTGGGGGTACACAATTCCATCCATAGCACTTCACCTCGCTACCGCCTACCCCTTAATTCAGTTCAGGTGCCACTTCCTCAGGAAATCCTTGACTAACCATCCCGTAGATTCCCACAACCATACTCTAGACAGTGACAAAGTGTGCGTTAGTGGGGTCTTGTGCTTACCTCTTTCCTTGCACTTGTGTCTTTATTTTATAGTTATCTGTTTCTGGTCAGTTTCCCCAGTAGACTATAAGCTCCTCGAAGGCAAAGATTTGTTTCATTCAGCTGTGCATTCCCAAACCTTGCACAGTGCCTGGCACGGGGCAGGCAACCAACGATGCTTTTTGAATGAATGTTAAAAAAAAAAAAAAAAAAAAAAAAATTCCCTTCTTATTATTTGTACTATGATTATTATACATATTACACCCATATATATTACAAACTAAACAATATATTATTATAATAACTTCAAATAGTTTTTTATGTCTGTAACCAGGGCACAGGGGTTCAAGACCATCTGGCTCCGGGGGTCCCAAGCAGACCAGGTTCAGCCACTCACTGCAGACAAAATCCAAAGACAGAGATGAGCAGTGGTGAAAAGAGAAAGGAATTTATTTCAGTGAGGCCAGCACCAGGAAGACAGCAGACTGATGTCTCAAAGACTATCTCCAAAGTGCTGAAAATACTTCTAAGTTTATAGAAGGCAAATGTGGGACAAAAGTTGATGGGCACATGCAGGTGGGCAGGAAAGGTCAGGTTGATCAGTGTCTTGAGGTCAGTCACGTGGGGTCTTGCTGGCTCAGGGCAGTGGTTACTGCTCGAGGGGACAGTCTTTGTTCCCATCACAGAATGCTTTGCCTGAGTTAAGACATGAGCTGGAAAGAACTGAATCAGTTAGGAAGTACAGACAGGTCAAAATGGAGGCAGGTGAAGTCTTCTTTCATGTCTTTTAAAGAAGATTAGAGAAGAAAGAGCAAGTATATTTTTATGGAGTTTGGTCTTCTTTCTTTCCTCCTTAAATTCACCCTCTAGGGTGCCTGGGTGGCTCAGTTGGTTAAGCAACTGCCTTCGGCTCAGGTCATGATCCTGGAGCCCCTGGATCGAGTCCCACATCGGGCTCCCTGCTCGGCAGGGAGTCTGCTTCTCCCTCTGACCCTCCCCCCTCTCATGTGCTCTCTCTCTGTCTCAAATAAATAAATAAAATCTTTAAAAAAAAAATTCACCCTCTACTCTGCAGTAGGACTGATCCAACTAAAGTGCAAATTTGCCCACACCATTCACTGGCTTGAAACTCATTTCAAACGCCCTAAGGGAGCATACACTGCCTTCCACATCCAGCCCCCAAGTATCTCTCCAGTGCCATTTCCCATAATTTCCTGTCTCACACCATCCCTGCACACACCATTTGCTCAGCTGTCTGGCTTTGCTTATGCTATTTCTTATGGCCAACTGCCCTCTTTGCAACACATTTCTCTCCCTCCCCCCCGCCCCCGTTTTAGTTAACTCAGGCTACCATAACAAAATACCATAGACCGGGTGGCTTAAACAACAGACATTTATTTTCTCACTGTTCTGGAGAATGTGAGTTCAAGACCAAGATGCCAACATGGCTGGGTTCTGGTGGGGACTCTCTTCGTGGCTTACAGACAGCTGCCTTCTCGCTGTTTCCTCGTATGGCAGAGAGAGACAGCATGCTCTCCTGTGTCTCTTCTTGTAAAGACACTAATCCCATCATGAGAACCCCATCCTCATGATCTCGTCTAAACTTAACTACCTCCCAAAGGCCCCACATCTAAATACCGTCACATAGGGGTTACATACAAATTTGGGGGTACACAATTCCATCCATAGCACTTCACCTCGCTACCGCCTACCCCTTAATTCAGTTCAGGTGCCACTTCCTCAGGAAATCCTTGACTAACCATCCCGTAGATTCCCACAACCATACTCTAGACAGTGACAAAGTGTGCGTTAGTGGGGTCTTGTGCTTACCTCTTTCCTTGCACTTGTGTCTTTATTTTATAGTTATCTGTTTCTGGTCAGTTTCCCCAGTAGACTATAAGCTCCTCGAAGGCAAAGATTTGTTTCATTCAGCTGTGCATTCCCAAACCTTGCACAGTGCCTGGCACGGGGCAGGCAACCAACGATGCTTTTTGAATGAATGTTAAAAAAAAAAAAAAAAAAATTCCCTTCTAGATTAAATAAAATCCGAAACCTTCAAGGCTGACGCTGGCCCTAAAAGTGAGAGGGAACAGACGCAAGATCAGGCATTGTCATAGCCCAAAGAAAACGATTTGCCATCAATGCAGGGTCTGGGAGAGCGTGGTGCGGGAGCTACCTAACAACCACCGTCCTCCAGCTAGGCGGGAAGGGCGGAGAGCGAGCTGCTCGGCGTCCAATCAAGACCCCGCATTTCGGGAGCCAATAGCGGTTTGAGAGCCGCTTAACTAGGCGGGACTACGCTTCCCGTGATGCCCCGCCGTCTAGGGCCAGGCGGCTGCCGTAAAGCGGTTCGCTCGGTACGGCGCTAGTCCCAGCCGCTCGCCTCTCCCGGCTCAGGGAGCGCTACCGCTCTCCCGACGAGAGAGAGCAAGTTCCTGGCCGTGCGCGCTCCCCGTCCGGCCGCCCTGCCCTCCGGGGGCCCCTGTCCCCAAGGTGGTCGCGGCGGCGGCATCTTCAGGCCAGGCCGCGGGGGGAGGGGGCGGACTGGAGGCAGTGGCGGGGTCAGCACCGGCCACCGCAAGCGGGGCCATGGAGCCCAGGGAGTCGGGGAAGGTAGGCCTGGAAGGGCCCTGGGGCCGCCCTCTCCCCTCCGGTAGATCCCTGACCTGGGCTCCGGCGAGGCGGGCGGTACGGGCGGAGTCCCCACTGATGAGCCAGCCTTGCAGGGAAGGACTCGCCCGCTCGCCCGCCACCTCTTTCCTCCACTCGGGCGGCCTTCTCCCCGCGGGTGTCGCAGGGAGGAGCGAACGCACCGGCCCCGAGCCCCGCGCGGCCTCCTTGTCCCCACCCCCCCCCCGCTGGCCGAGCCGCCCTCTGCCCAGTGGCCCGCTCGGTTGATGCTGGGGTGGGTGACCCGCTCAGTGTAATGATGTAAAGGTGCTTCCTGTTTTCCCACACCTCCGTTGGGAGTTTCGAAGAGGCCCGGCGTGTTTTAAGGCTGGTTAAGACCGAAGTGGAAGCCAAGGGGTAGGGGTTACGGAGAGGCAGGGTAAGGGTTTGGCCCTGACTACATAGATCCCCCTTCCCAAGAAAGGGCTGAGAAGAAAAAGAGAAGGCATCTGGCGTATTTCCTGCCCACTTAAAGTTGCTAGCTTATCTACTTCGTGTAGTAGTGGAATCGCCTGGAAGCATATTCCATAAACTTCCTTCAGGCTTGGGGCAGGAGGCTGTGAGCTGGAAGAAAAGGTGGGAGAAAGTGCTTGACGGTAGAGTGAAGTGGGTTTGACAGGATTGCCAGAGCTCAGAGGCAGTGTCAAAAGACCATTTTGGTTGTAGGCATTTGATTTGGAGACAGTGGCAGCCTCTTGGGACCAAGATCTTTCTGGATGTTCTTTGCTGCCTGCTTCCAGTTCTTGAGGATTGCTTCTTTGGCGCGAAGGGAATTCCTTCCACCTATTTTCAAGTGTGTATTGAGTCTCTCCTTAAAAAAAAGAAAAAGAAAAAAAGTTAATAAACGTGATCAGTGGTTTACTGTGAGGGAGATGGTGGAATACAGGGTAAACATGAAGTGACCACATTCCCCGAGTTCTTCCCACAGATCTGACTTCAATAACTAGGACAAGCCTGGAAGGGTTGTCCCATAGACAAAAGAGAGAAAGGATAATGAGATTATTATTCACGCTGTAGCTTCTCCTGAAAAGGCTGGGAAGGACTGAGTTAACAAAAGAGTTACCCCTTACTTAAGCCTCTCTTCCACACTCCCTCCCCTTCACAAGCTACAGGGATGCATTTAACAGTTGAAACAACCAAAGTAAACAGTCTAAGACAAATAAAGCTCAACGGAACCTAACTAAAAGATTGAAGGTGAAGTGTGTGCCAGCCTCATGTTAAGCACTACAGGGGATATCAAAGAAGTAAAGGAAATGGCCCTTACTCTCAGGTAATATCCCCGGATTCGTTTCGACTGAACCAAGTTTGGGGAGCAAAATGTAATGGGGAAGAAGGATCATAAGCAATCGGCATTGAAAGTTGGAATTAGTAATTTGAGGTTGATTTCAAGCTATTCCGTTTAGTTGCAGGCTTTCTTAGCTTTTGTTACCACATTTTATTTTATTTTTTGTTTTTGGGAGAGAGAGAGAGATTATGTGGGAGAGGGGTGAAGGCAGAGGGAGAAAGAATCTTAAGCAGGCTCCATGTGCATAGCCCCATGCAGGGCTTGATGACCCTGAGATCATGACCTAAGCTGAAATCAAGAGTCAGTTGTTTAATTGACTGAGCCATCCAGGTACCCCTAGGCTTTCTTGGCTTTTAATGGGAGAAGAGAGAAATGTAAACATTTTGGGAGGTAGGGGAGAGATTTGATGTCATCTTTAGGCCCAACCACTAATTGAAAACCCTGGGGACTGGAACTTTCACTCTAGATTCTAATCTTGATTTCGGGGTGTCTCAAAAAGATGCTCACCCTTCCACAGTGTGTCAGTTTCCTAACCTGGGAAATTAGAAGGTTATCCAAAGATGAAATAAACTGATTGCAAAACAAACTGGCAGTGCTAGATATCTTGCAAATGAGTGGCAGCAACTAGACTGGGTAGAATGTCTGTGCTATTCTAAAGTCTCCTTGTGAGTATCCCAAGAAAGGGCTGAGAAGAAAAAGAGAAGGCATCTGGCGTATTTCCTGGGGCAGGCAACCAACGATGCTTTTTGAATGAATGTTAAAAAAAAAAAAAAAAAAAAAAAAAAATTCCCTTCTAGATTAAATAAAATCCGAAACCTTCAAGGCTGACGCTGGCCCTAAAAGTGAGAGGGAAC